GTGCAGAGATAGTGGTTCTGGCCAGGGTCTGGGTTCAGCTTACTTTAATTGTAAATAATTAAATGGGGTGACACATAAATCTTTCTTAATTCCTTCTTTCTTCCTCCACTTCAAAGGAATATTTGGATGGGATTAAGAAATTTTACCTAGCCACTGTGGAATCCCTTGATTTCAAAAATGCTCCAGAAGAAAGTCGAAAGAAGATTAATTCCTGGGTGGAAAGCCAAACAAATGGTAGAGTATGGGAGGGCTACTCATGGTGGAAACTTTTGATTATCCTGTGAGGAAGCCCCAGATTTGACATGGTAGGGAGTCCTGGGTGGGGTGTTATTGGATCTGCAGAGAGGATGGAGGAGGCAGGGCAGATAGTCCCAATAAATGTGGAGAGATCTAGGGGGAGGGAGAGAAGTGAAGGAGGTCAATTAGGTGGAGACATGGCTGCAAAGCTACTTGCACATGGCCCCCGGCTGACACTATTTTTGTGGAACCCAAATTCCCACTCAGCCCCGTTTTGAGATTTTCTTGAGGTCAGAGCCAAGTGTTGATTATAAATCTTTAGAAGAAAACAGTCCAAAGAGCTCCTTCCTCTTACTCATCGGGAACAGGCAGCCCACCTGGAGACCAGGCTTCCTGCCACTGAGCTGTCACTGCCTGGAGCACACCTCCACCAACCCTCCTGCAGGGATTACCCCAGGGTCTCCTCTACCCACTGCAGAGAGCTTCTCAAAGCCTCCATTCTATGGACAACTAGTGCCACCCCTTACTATAGGCCATACTTGCAGCAGTTCTACAGGAGACTGAAGAGGAGGAAGGAACCCCTGGGAGTAGCATCTGACAGCAGGGGACTGTCAGAGTACAGAGCTCAGGCCATTGTCCTTGAGGACAATCAGGCCCTGTTTCTCCACGTGAGGGGCCCACCTTGGGAAAACCGAAGGGGAGGAGCAGAGGAAGGAAGGAAAGAGTCAAGCTGAACAGCAGATAAGATCAGCTCCTCAGTGTCCCCTAGACAGTCTCACCTCCTTTCCTGTCTCCATCCCTGTAGCTCTCTAGGGCTGGCACCATGAGAAGGCTGCACCTGGTGGCAGTCCACAAGTCCCTAAAGCAATGGCACATAAATATAAGGACCAGTCATGAAATTGTGCATAGCATTCTATTCTCTCCAAAAACCATTTGTACTTACATGATGACCTTTTTTTTTCCCCTTACAGAAAAAATCAAGGACCTATTTCCTAGTGGCAGTATTAACCAAACCACCAGACTGGTTCTGGTGAATGCAGTCTACTTCAAAGGGCGGTGGGATAAGGAATTTAAAAAGGAATTGACCACAGAAGCAAAGTTCTGGCAGAATAAGGTATTGCATGTGGAAAGTTAAATTTAGACGCATCTGATGGGATGGACCACTACAGTAGAGCATGCCGTGAACAAGCAGATATTGTTTTGTTTTATTCTTATAATTTTATTTAGTTAGGAGTGCCTGCAAAAATAGTAACTTCTGTCTTTATTGCTCAAAATTCCTGAGTTGTTTCTCCAAAAGAGAGGGATGTGTTTGGTGTCTCATTAATATTATCTTTTTGTCTAACTTGGTATTTATTTGATGCCTTAATTTATTGTAGAATGTGAGCAAATCTGTGCAGATGATGGCCAAAAGCGGGCATTTTAATTTTGCCTTCCTGGAGGATGTGCAGGCCAAGATCCTGGAAATACCATACAAAGGCAATGACCTGAGCATGGTCCTGCTGCTGCCCAATGAAGCAGATGGCCTGCAGGAGGTAACACTCGCATTGACCTTTCTTCCTTCTATTGCCTGATTTTTCCCCCATGGTAACTGTTTAAGTCTAAACAAGACAAAAACTTTGAAGCCAAGGTGCCTCGAATAATAAAAAGTTCAAAACAAGGAACAATGACTCAGTCACTGAATCAGATCATTCAGTGGCACACATCTGTAATCAGCAACTCAGGAGGCCAAGACAGAAGGATGACAAGTTTGAGGCCAACCTCAACAACTTAGTGAGATCCTCAGCAATTTATATGAGACCCTGTCTCAAAATTAAAAAATAAAAAGGGCTGCAGATATAGCTCCATGTTTAAGTGCCCCTGGGTTCAATCCCCAGTACATCTTTACATTATAAATAGTTTAGCTTACAGCCTGACACAGGCTTAATTTATTATCATTTAAGTAGAGCCATACACCTTAAATGTCAGTTTGATGGCAACAAGCTACAATTAAACCCAGAGAAATATATACCAATGTGAGAAATGTTTAAAAACATATCAAGCAAGAACTAAGAGTAAAAATAGGTCATGTACTATGACTGCAGTATGTAATAAATAATGTGTGCAAGAAAATAAAAAGTCTACAAAATGACACATACAGTAGACAGATGGCATAAGAAGTAGTGATATATAGTTCGTTTGGTTCAAAATAATGTAATTGTATTTGTACATACATGTTTGTACATGTGAACACATATAATCAAATAAGTCTTCATATATGTTCAGGCCTGCTGTTTTTGCTTATTAGAATAATGTCTAATAAACTGGATCAACTGTGTAGGTTGCATTTATTGCTAAACTCAAAATTTCCCACGTATTCCATTCATTGTTAAAGTGTGCCAGAGTCCAAAAGTTGATCATGTCAGTTTCTTTTTTTTTTTTCCATCTTTATAGCTTGAAGACAAACTCACTGCTGAGAAGTTAATGGAGTGGACCAGCCCAGGGAGCATGGAGATGACTAAAGTCAATGTGTGCCTCCCTCGATTCAAAGTGGAAGAGACCTACGACCTCGTGACCATATTGAGAGCCATGGGGATGGAGGACGTCTTCTGTCCAAAAAAGGCTGACCTCTCGGGCATGACAGGGACACAGGGCCTTTCGGTGTCCAAAGTTGTGCACAAGTCCTTTGTGGAAGTGAATGAAGAGGGCACGGAGGCTGCGGCCGCCACTGGCGTAGTAGTTGAAGTAACGTCCTCCCCAATGCCCCCTGTTAGTTTCTATTGTGACCACCCCTTCCTGTTCTTCATCAAGCAAAAGAAGACCGACAGCATCCTCTTCTTTGGCAGAGTCTCTTCCCCTTAAGTAGGATGCCTCTGTCTCTCTTATGAGGACCAGTCACAGAGCAAAAAGTAAACTGAGGCTGGAAATAACACGTCCTTTGTATATTCATTTTCTTTTCAGCCTCAGAGTCCCCACTAAGAATGCGATGGTTGTAGGAGCCTCTCTTTTCTCTCTTTCTGCACACACATATGAACCAGTTTTCTTCTTCTTTTTTTTTTTTCTTATAAAAATTTCCTTGGAGAACAAAACGTTCAATGTGAAGATTAAAACAATCCATACCTCATCTTCTAAATTGGACACGATTGCTTCTGTCCTGTTTTGGATGAACCAAAGCAAATCACATTCTCTTCAAACTCATCAACCTAGACACCCACTTTTCCTTCAATTGAGGTGATATCTGGGACCCTTCTTATATTTCTAAATTCTGTGATTCTATTAAATCAATTAGCAATAAAGGAATGACCTGATCAAATTATTTGTTCCTTTTCCTTTATTTTCTTTCCAACAAAGTACAAGTGATCAACCACACCTAAGAAATAGGTCAGAAATATATTAGTCATAGAGAAAGAAAAATTCAGAACAAGCTCAGGCAGGCTGAGTCTAAAGTGGTAGGCAGATAAACTTCTATAGATATTCATTTTGTATTTCTTAAAATCAAGGAAATTTTATTTATTATTTGGCTGTTAGATTTGGGGGGGTTGTTTTCTTTTGGGGGTTTTTTGTTGTTGTTTTGTTTTTTGTTGTGTTGTTGTTGTTTTGCAGTTCTGGGGATCAATCAAATCCAACTGTTCTACCTCTGAGCTAAACTCCCAGCCCAGGAAAATGCTAGAGCTCTACTTTTTGACAAAATGGACTTATTCCAGCTGTCCACATTTTAAAAAATATATATTAATATAATTGGCCATATTAACAGATTGCAGGGAGAAATTTCTTAGACCTGCATTGTACAATGCAATAATTATTAGCCACAGCCGCTATTTAAAATTAACATTAAACAAAATTAAAAGTACAGTTTCTTCATCTCACTAGCCACATATCACATTCTCAACACCCACGTGTGATTGACAGGTATCATGTTGCACCATGCAACCGCTGAACACGTCCATTATCAGACCCCATCACCAGAGAGCACTTTGCTGGACAGCAATGCACAGCACCTGGAACATTACATGACAAAATTAAATATATGTGCTTTATGAGGATTCTTAATAGGATAAAAACAGAAGGAGACTGATTCTTTAACGTATTAAAATATGTTAGATACATAAAATATAGCTATCTAAATTTCAAATCCAAAATCAAGTTAAATAGGTAACAATGAAAGCATTGAATTCAAAGGGTAAAAAAGAAATCCAATATTATTGCTATTTTTGACAATCTCGGACAATGAATTAGTAAAAAGGAAAAGGGCAGGTCAGTGTATAGAGTGTGGTACCATTTGTGGTTTTTTAGAAAAAATAATAATAGTAAACTGTGCACACATGATATTACCTAAACCTGTGGTTTGTCTCTAGAGGAATATGTAAGAAGTTGGACCATGTGTTTTGGGGAGGAAGGGTACCCCAGTGGTTTGGTGACATTGGGGACAGAGGTACTTTGAACTATAAACCCTTTTCACCTTTTGTGTTTTAAATATATCTCCTATTCAAAATATTGATAAAATCTATATTTTTAAGAAATCAACTGATTCTGATTCTTAGTTTTACTTATAAATCGAGGTCTGGCTTTTAAAGTAATATCATATTTGCATTTATAAATACCAAATCTGGGGCCCTGGGTTCAATCTTCAGCACCACATAAAAATAAACAAATAAAAATAAAGGTATTGTGTCCAACTACAACTAAAAAATAAATATTAAGGGGCTGGGGTTATGGTTCAGTGGTTGAGTGCAACCTCGCATGCATGAGACACTGGGTTCGATCCTCAGCACCACATAAAAAATGAATAAATAAAAATAAATATTAATATATACCAAGTCTCTAGGAACATAGAGCATGATAAAAATACTGCACCTGGAATAAGATATGACTTATATGAGACAAAGCAGAATACTCTGTAATTATACCAGATTACTACTACAAAGATTCACTATTACACTGTATTTCTAGGATGTGGTTTTGTCAACTACCATTTCCAAAAGACTGGTAAATCTAGTTCAAGGTACTAAATAGTGATAAAGAAAACAATGAATGACTTGAAAGAGAATGAGAAATTGAAAATATATTAATGCCCACATTGTTTTACATAAATTTTTGAGTGAAATATGACAGTTAAGGTAACCAGGTTGTGGCTAATGGCTGTGCTGTCAAATGATAACCCATGTCAATGTCCCCTTTGTAAGGAAAAATTCTCCATGTTGAAAATAACCATGTATTTTTAAGAGTATTTGATTAGAAATTTTGTATTTCTAAATATTCTCCTCCTTCTTCAAAATGTAGATAAATCTTTTTGAAGACTGAACAGATCTTTTGTGAGTTTAATGGCCAAGGAATGTCTTTCTTAAGGACCTGGGAACCACTTCCTTGAAATGGAAGCATCAGAGAAGATAATGCCCCTATGTCCAGGAAAAGACTGAGTCTGACTTCAGGGGTACCTAACTCCAGATTCCTAAACTACCCCCATCCTAAAGATAGAAGCTTGTTTTTCCTTTGGGTGAAGTCAGTTCCCTAACTCAGGTGGCCATCCCAGTCGCCATGGGACCCCAGGATGAGTCATGAGTGAGGGATGGAGACATAAAGTGCTCTTACTGGAGGACTCACTATTAAAGCAATAATCTTGAGAACAAATATCTACTGTGTGTCTTCATGACTGTTGTTAGGGTTTGGCTATGAGGTGTGCCCCTGAGGTCCTGTGTTACTGCAGGAATATTCTGAAGTGAAATAAAAATAGACAATGAGAGCTGTGACCTGATCAGTCCACCCTTTAAATGGAGTAACTATAGGCAGGTGGGGCATGGCTGGAGGAGGTGGGTCACTGGGAGGACCCCTGGAGGGTGCATCTTCCCTGTGGCCCCTGCCCCTTCCTCTCTCTTTGCCTCCTGGTGGGCTTGAGGTGAGCAGTATTCCTCCACCCCACGCCTCTACCATGACATTCTGCCTCCCTTGGGCTAAAGCAATGAAGCCACCAACCACGGACTAAACCTCTGAAACTGGGCAACAAAATAAACCTTTCCTCCTCTGAGTTGTTTATATTGGATATTTTGGTCACAGTGATGCTGACTAACACAACTCTATGAAAGGGTGAGATTTCCTTTCCCTCTGTCTTGGTAATTTCTTAGCACATTATCTGTAATGCTCATTACATTCTGATTTAATGTTTCTTTTCTCTACTCCCTTCGTGGGGAAGATTTGGGGATTGGGAGAAGATTCTGGTTTTGATTCTATTTCCCCAACACATAATAAATTCCTACCCACCCCACCCCTGAATCCTGCCATGGGTCACTTAAAGAAATGTGTGTGCTAATTACAACAGTGAAGAGAAAGGTTGTTTACCTAGGAGCGTGTGATGCCTTGTGGGATGGAGAGGCCACTAGGTATCATCCTCCTGTGACACCTGGGCCTCAGTATTCTGAGGTACCTGGAGGCAAGTGTGGGACCTATCAAGACTGGAAGGGTTCACAGGGAAGCTGTCTTTAGTGCCTTCACCTCTAAATTCTCATTTTTAGAGCAACTGATTACATGTCTAGGAAATGGTGCCCTCAGACACCCAGGACAGCAGAAGCCAACTCCCTGGACACAGCTCTGAAATTTTCATCTCCTAAATATCTTGGGAACAGGAGAGGAGTCACTGGCAGGGTCATTCAGAAAGAGAATAAAATCTCACATGAAATTCCCAGTCTTGGGAAGGATTCTGGTACCTTGCTGTTGGGGTAAACACTCAGTGCCCAGAAGCCATGCTGTGTCTGAAGGGGAACAAGGGGCTCCCATGGAAGTATTAGGGGAGCAAGGAGGAGGGAAAGTGGTCACATCCCTTATCTCCAGTCTTAAATGGGGATCGGAGCAGAAGGATCTTGGTTGTGAAGTCAAGTCATGTACTCATTAAACATCTGAAGAAACCCCTATGAGCAGTTGACACACACCTATCAGGTAGTTATTCCCCCTGCTGATAGGGACAGCACCACCCTGAGGAATCCACGAGTCTAGAATGTTCAAAACCTCTCTGTTGGGTCCTCCAAGCTCTTCCTTTGGAATTAGAAAACAGCATGCCCAGGCCTTTGCAGCCCCGGGCTTGACTATTTTAACACTACCTTATGATTTTTTAAATTTTACTAATCATTATAGTAGCAAATGTAGCTCAAAATTATGAGTATTTATAACACTGATTTTTTAAATTCACAAATCCCATAATAGCCTCCATGAAATTCTCTGTTTGGATGTTTTTCACCATATGAGCCAGATATTCATGAGTAGGAAAAGAAGAGGGCCCCCTGGGAGACCAAAAGGATCCCTTTTCCCTCTTCTCCTGCCTGCCCCCACACCTCACGCGCACTCCCCTCGGATTGCTGTGCCACATCCAGCTCTGCCAGAGCCACCGCACACAGGCTTCCCTGATTTTACACAGGTTTACTCTATGGCTTCTCATAGGCCCTATCAACTGACCCAAAATCCTACTGCTCAGGGGACCAATGTAAGCAATATCAGATGGTCAGCTTGGTGAGGCTGATGTGCGACCAGGACACTAGAGGTGGGCAAACAAAGCCTGGCCTCAGGGGTCCCTCTGGGAATGCATTCCCATGCCCTCCAGGACTGAAAGACTGATCTGTGTCCTCTGAGTATTACCCACATGGGTCTGGAGAAATCCTATCCCAGGTGAATTCAGTGAGTCCAGAGCAGATTTGGCATGAGTTTAACTAACAAGACTACTTGTTACATTAACCTGTTACATTAACGAGAGCTAACCAGCGGAGGATTCACTCAGTAGTTAACACATGGAGGAAAGTCCGGGAGTTTTAAGGGCTAGAAAGAATGGCAGTTATGCGAACAAAGATGAAAATTGGATAGTGTTATCATAATTATGGAACCCTCCTGGTGTACTGTTAGTCTTCTTGGCTTCTGTTTCTCATTGTTTAGATAAGAAATTGAACCAATGAGCTCTGATGTGCCTTCCAACATTCTATTGGTCATGACTTCCTTTAAGAAACCTTTGACACACTTCAGTATCTATTTCTTTGTAGAGCAAATAAACTAGAACACCACAAAAAATTAAATTAATATGTACAACCAGAGATATGAAAAATTGTGCTCTGTAACAAATTAAAATTTTAAAAAATGAAAGGAAAAAAATTAAATAAAATGTTGATGATACATCTTGAGACAGGAATACAATGGTGCAGGAGTGACCATACAGGTAAACTGTCCAGCTTTGGTGGAGTCTTGAGGTCACAACAGCCCTGAAGACAGTTTGTCATGGCCTTGGGAGAGACCCTAAGCCAGAAGCATGCAGCCAGGTTAGTCA